TATATAATATATAATGGGTGGAATGTCCCAATTTCAATCTTTGAAGCATAAAGCAAGTTTCTAGTAGTCTAGAAAGCATGTATGTGGAGGAGCCTACAGTGCTATTGTGAAGGTTCTGTAAATCTTAATATTTTATAAGAATAAAGAACATTGAATATTGCCCTTTTCTTAAATCTAACTTGAAATCAATTTCAAAGTATAATCTACTCTGCAATGAAATAAATGTTGTGAAGAAAAATTGAGGCTTGAAATACAGTTTTTATATTTTACTATAGCAGTAATAGCTGGGGTGAATTTATTGCAGGCAATATTCTTCCTAACCCAAGCATCTATTTGTTAGCAATGGCATTTGTGTGTTACACGAACACTATTTATGTCCAACTAGTAAATTCTAATACCAGCATGGAAACATCTTTGCTTCACAGAATCCAGTAGGGTACGGATGTGGTTCATATAGTCTCACTTCATCAAAAGGACAGCCACTTTCCAGCAAAGGCCAGATTGTGTTAGTCATGCCTATTAGAAGAGAGTTTAAATACTCCCAAGGTAACACTTGACTACTTGAAATTCTTTCTAGTCTCTTTCAAATTAGTAAGGAAGAAGAAAATTCTGACATGATAAAAATTACAATTTTATTATCATACATAAAGTTTTGCCACACTTTTTTGAGAAGGGTTTTTCAACATGCTTTTTGTACTCTGTGGTAAATTTTTAAAAGGGTCATAATCTAATGGGATTATACCAATATGCGTAAAATATTCCTAATGAAAATATTCTTTTAAAATGAAACAGATAATTTGTTTGCAGCCTAACCTAAAATTGGTGCTGTGATTTCTTTATTTTGCAATCAGCAAATTTCTAGGTTGTTTTTTTACTACTAGCAAGCATTTTTGTTCTTTTATTGTTAATTGAATTTTTTGTGTATATCTTACAGAACAGTTCAAACAACCTTAATCACCTTTATACTCCCATTCCCACTGAAACCCTCCTATAACCATGGCTGAAGGGTTTGACGGGGGGGTGGGAGAGAGAGAGAGAGAGAGAGAGAGAGAGAGAGAGAGAGAGAGAAGAAATAAATAATACCTGGTTTTAAAAAACCAGAGGGAACCATGTTAGTCCAACAGCCTAATTAAAAATTATACATACATTATTTCTACATGAGTACATGTGTATAGCTAAAGGTTACATAACAAGAAACAGTGTCAGACAGGGGAAAACTTCCTTTGAGTTGTTGACCAAGATGGTTCAAGAGACTCCCAAAATTACTCAGGCTGTTGCTATAGCCCTTGATGCCCTCCCAGAACTAGAAGGTAAGAACCTAGTGTTGAAGACAGAACATACTTCGGACACAGGATTTGGAGCAATAGAGCTGCAACTGACCTGCAACCACTTGCCCTGAAGGCTAGCTCTCATAGCTTTGGAGAGGGCTATGAAGGTGCCAAAGGAAAACAGCAATGGATGATCCAAAAATAGCTTCAAGACCAAATAACCACATCAGTGGCCAGCATAGCATACATCATTGTTGCAGTAGTGGCACTCTTATCTTGGGAGCAATGAACAGTTACCTAATTTGATTAAACGGCCACTCAAATAGAGAAAATTCAGGTGTGATAATGTAAACATAACCTAATATATATTGCTGGAGTGGCCTTAGATCTTAGAGAAAACCCCAAGACTGTCACATCTCTATACTAATGTGATTTCTTACTATGTGCAAAAAATATGTATCCTTACATTTACAGAGAGCCACCACTCATCAAAGAAGCTCATTTTGTACCAGTCAGAGACTCTTACAAAGTACCACAACTGGTCACACTCATTGTCTATGAATTGCCCAGGCCTAAGTGATATATCTACAATGCAACCTCTGTACCTAAGGCTCATGGAACAGAACAGAGACAATGAAGAGGATACTCAGTTCTCAATAATGAAGCTTCCTCATGCAGCGGAGAGCCAGGAACACAAACGGTCACAAATAGCCAAAGTGTAGCAATCAAGAGTCTGCTGAATGCAGGTCCTTGGACATTATCCTTTTATTAAACTTCTCACATCCAAGGCTCAGCGAACATCACAGAAAAGGGGGTGAAAAGACTGTAAGAGCTGGGGAGGATGTGCATGTCCATGTGGAAATACAGTCCTACAAGCTCCTGGGAACCTCCTCATATTATTCTATGGCAATGGTGTCAGCATACACAAGCAGACATATGTAACCCAGCATAGAACCGAGAAAATGAACAGCAGACCTCAGTCTTATCTGAAGGAATGTTAGCAAGTGATTGTTGCTAGATGAAGAAGAGCTCATCTTCCTAAAACAAGGGACTCTCAATAGGATGACTAGACTTAGTGGACAGACTTGCACCGGGGAACTGTTGGGGATACTGACAACCAATTGGGCCTTAGACTGAGTATATGGGCTCCAGTGGGAGGAGGGTGCTTATAAGCATTTCTACAGTATTAGAAATTGTAATGTATTCTATTGGTGTTCATTAATTGACCAAGATATAATTACTGGAAAGATAGGTATATAAATGGATATTTTATGGTTGAATCATTGAATAGTACACAGGAAGATGAATATCAGAAATTTAATTAAAAAGTAGTAAGATAAATGATACTTTTGTCTAAAACCTGAGATTATTTTTGACAATATATGAATTATAGTTTCCTATTACTCACATGAAAATATTGAGACTGTATGCTATTCCAATAAAACTTTCATTTGTATCAAGTAATAAATTAAGCAGCAGGGTTCAAGCTGACAGTGGAGTGATGTAGATGTGGAATTGAGGGTCCAGGGAAAGGTTAATGAAAATGAAGTGTGCATGAAAATGCTTCTAAAAACACATGATCTTGTAATCCAAGTAAAAATATATAATAAGAGCAGGAATAGTAGAACATATGTGATATGAAAAGTCAGGGGTTGAGGTGCTGCAAGCTGCAGGTTTAAACAGAGATGGGTATGGGGTAGTAAGGAGCACTAATTTCACTCAGTGGTTAAAAATAAAAAAAATTGACTAGAAAAGAGAACACGATTTGGGAGGAAGATGAGATGAGGGGTCATGGGTAGAGTTGGAGGAGGGAGTAAATGATATACATTATCATTTATGTATCAAGATACATTGTATGTAGGACATCTTCAAAGACTAAATTAATAAGTTGTTATCTAAACAAAGCAATTTAAATAAAACCTTTAAGCAAGGAAGATGCTATGGCACATTCTGTTCTATGGACTCTTTCCTTTAGTTTTCTGAATCTAAGCATTAATCTAATATAATTTGAGTTCCCCTAGAGTTAGTCCTGAGGCAAGGATTACATTTACAAGTACTTTCTTTGGAATCTCCCCCAAATATTAACCTGAAATTTTGAAAGTAAAAAGGCAAAAGCAAAGAAATTAAATATGGTCTAATATGTTGCCTCTGTGGACAGTAGGAATCACTGCATAGGACACAGTTCTTAAAACACTTAAACTCAGGAACTTAGAATCATCTTCCAACCTCAGCATATACTGAAGCCTTGCTCCAAAATTGGAACATACATTTCTTTACACTTGATCTTTCCCTCCTGAAATGCAGCTCTCCAGTCAAGGAAATGCTCTACATGGAGCTGTGTATGCTGTGTCAGGTTGCAAGAAAAGTTGGCTGGGGACCCTGAGGGAGCATGAAGTATAGCTTTACATTATACTTCTCATTTGTTCAGTGTAATGAAGATAATTATTTCATTAAAGAATATTTACTGAATATATTCTATGTTTCAGATTAGTTAAGCTTCTGTAACAAAATGGTAATAAATAGAAGTCAAGGTTCCCTTCTCAACTGATAAAATGTTATGTAAAAGTAAAATGTAGGTTATCAAATTTTACATTGGTTTTTCATGTTTCCTCCTCTTCTGCATACCATTTTTAATGAGTTCTTGCTTTATTAGGAAATACCATTTTCCTATTTGTAATCAAACAATACTGGCTCCTTGACAATGACTGTCAAACTGGAATGAAGGGAGCAAAAACTGTACATGTGTATTGTAACATCTGAGAAGTTTGGAAAATGAAAAAATTCTTCATTTATTGACACTTTCAGACACCATTTCACATCCAGCACATCTCAGAACTCACACATATTTAATTGAAGATATATTAGCTATATACTGAAACATAAGTATAATCTAATCTGTGAATGCATTGTACACAGTCTCAAATATTAACATAGCAAACATTTTAATCTTACCACAGGAACTTAAAGAATCAGGGAAGCTATTTTTTTCCAGTTCAAATTTAAACAAAATAATACATGGAGGCAATTGAGTAACAAAAGTTTAAAAAGTTGATATGTGGCATATTTCATATTTGAGTCTTACTGGTAATCTGGTCTTTCAGT